GAAGGGACCTTGTCACCTGGCTCTGCTAGGAATAGACAACTTCCTGAGCAGAAAAAGACTGCACAGAGGAGTTGCTGGTAGGAAAGGAGAGATCCTAGCACTGCTTCTGTGGGCAGGGACACAGCTGAAATCCTATGAGCAGAGCCCTCCTTAAGTCATTGCACCCTGGGTAGGAACTATTCACTCCTGGGCTAAAATTAGGATTTTCTATTAAGATAACACTTTAACTGTAAAACTCTCTGTATTTTGCAGTGGAGATGACAGACACATTGTATATGTAGCACACTGCTGGCATAATTCAGTTTTATCAAGGCGGATTAACTGACCTGTAGAACTCTTCTAGAATAATTTGCTGCGTGTACAACTTTTGGATTTGTTTTAATTCATGTTGGCAGTGGTTGAAGCAACCCTAAAATGGTATTCTTGTTCCAGATTAAGAACCTCGACGTGGGGAGCTATTTTGGAATAGTTAAAGTATTTTATATTCACTTGGTCCAGAGGACCTCACTAGATACACGGGCCCTTACATATAAAGTGACTTCCCATCCATAATTAATAAGCACGTGCATGGCCAGAAAGTCCTTCAAAAATTTATCTGCTACAAGGCCACTTCAAACCAGGACAAGCAGTCCGTGGAACCTGGAACTCCAATTATAATGTTCATTAAAGAAGTATCCCAGTTGTTGTGTTCACTCTGATTCTCCTTTGCTGTGCGACTGATCAAATGCTGCTGTCTTACTGCAACTCAGCACCAGTGATAATTAACACTGTTCTGCTAACTACTTGTTAAAGGAAAGTAATTAGCATTCTTGCTATTTAGGAAGCTCATTAGATCCAGTTTATCAGCTCACTCAAATCATGGTGGGGAGCAAGAAATGACAGCTTTATGGTTCAAAATTTTCCAGGAGTTATTTAGGGTCACACAAAGCTTCTTAACAACAACAAAAAAAAAAAAAAAAAAAAAAAAGGAAAGAAAGAGGGAAAAAAAGGCCATGCAGCTCAGACTGACCTACACTGGATCATGAGGTCACTTGCCATTTTCTTGCCTTGGCCCTGTGGTTCTAGGCAGAGATCGTTACAAAGGCCAAGGAGCCCTTTGCAGATGCTGCATCCATCTGCCAGGCGGATAGGTGTACCTGCAAACTGGAGAAGGGGCACACCCCTCCATCCCACGCTGGTGAGATAAAGCTATCAAAAGTACAGAGATTCAAATGAGGTTGGCAGTAGTGCTGGCCATTTGCATTAAAGGGAGGCTTTTTAATTAGATACATGGAAGAGCAGTCCAGGTGAAGGATCAGCTATAACCTTATGTGACACTGGCACTTCCTCTCAGGGAAAAAAAGCACGAGGGGCAGTCATGCACTGCACAGGTGTGAAGTCATGTGAAGCAGCATCTCACAGGTTACGCTGCAAAGTGGCAGTGGGGTAACGGCATCAGTTGAATGCAGGAGAGCCTAGGCTGAGAGAAGGTGCTGGGGGAGGAATACCAGTGCATGAGCCAGCAAGACCCTCTGAACACCCAACTCCATCAAGCCTTGAAACGACGGGAGAAGAAAGGGACTACGGGAAAAGAAAGGGATGCGGGGCGGGGAAACTCTGTAAAGCAGCCAGGTAAACATGAGGGACAGCAGCACAAGGGCAGCGAGGACAACTTCTGTCAGTGAATGAAATTTCCCTTGCAGATGAAAGGCAGGAGGGAGCCTGGCGCAGATGCCTGTTTGCTGTCCCCGGCAGGGCTGGAAGCAGACACGAGGATGGAGGAGGAAAGCATTGGTTGTGCTCAGAGGGGAAGCGAATGCAGAGTGCAGAGTGCCAAGAGCATAGCCCAGAAAGCTGTCTGTCTGCATGAGCTTCCTGAATCAAAGGACCCTGCCAGAGTGCTGGGGAAAGCTGCCTTTCATGTCTGGCAATGCTGTAAACCCCAGCCACAAAGATAGACACATCCTCACACACACCAACCTAGAGGCACTTCTAAAGCCTCCCCATAGCCCATAGCCAGAGATCCGGTTCAGAATAGAGGGAGCTTGTGGAAATATGTAGCTGTGCTCTATTACCCAAGTTGACAGTGGACCGCACTCTGGTCTTGGTTACAGTCACTGAACCTTCTTGGGCTTGCAACATGGTCCAGAGATCACAGCACGAGAACAGGGGGTTAGGACAACTGAGCTTTATACCAGGCACTGGCTTGCAGTGGGATTTTAGGTGAGTCTCTTAGCAAACCTTTGTTCCAGTTGTCCCATCTACAAAACGGATAATAAAGTGCCTGGCAAGGGTGGGGAAGTGCAAAAGTTCTTGAATGCAAAGCACTGCAGTTGTCAAAAGCCTCGCCACCCATCTTGGGAGTGCAACAGACCCTATTTCACCAAGCAGGATTGATACAAATTCCACAAGCGACTGCTTGGCAAATATGGAGTCAATTGCTGAGGTGCAGGCACCAGCTCACCCAATGAACGACCGCAATGGCGCTTTCCATGTTTTATGAATGAGCTGCCAGTACCAATTTACCATAATTGATCCTCAATGCTAGGTAGGTAGTAAAACCATCTTACGAAAATTACAGCCACCACCTTAATCAAATGAATTTGCATAGCATCTTCATAAGACAGTCTCAGTGCCTTTTACCAGGATAAAACTGCATTCATGTTATCAATATTTAAAGAGCTAGGGAAAACAGCTACACACACAGGTCTCTTCCCACTCACTTTTTAAATGCAGAAACACACTGGGCAGTTTGGTTGGCAACACGAAATTGCCTGAGCCTAGAGCAAGATTACAAATGCCCCAGTCCGCATTGCCACAAAGTCTGGAATAAAGACAGATTAAGTCAACCTCCAGTTCTTACCCAAGCAGATGACTTGGGCTCCCAATGACCAAAAAAATAAATTAAAAAAAAAAATAAAAAAAATCAGCAGGCCTTAGTGTGAAGTGCTTTCTGTACATCACAATAAAGGCTTTAAAATCGAGATGCAGACAAGGTTCTTTGGGTAAAACTGATCAGCTTCACCCAAAGAACCTTGTCTGCCTAAGTCCTTAGAGTCTGACACAGCTACAACCTACACCCCTTAAAATCCATATGTTTTATAGGAGCTGATACAGATGGGGATAACTTGTAGAGACAGTCAAGCGCCTGCAATTGTGTGAGTAATTGAATTCACCCAGGGAGCCATTCAAGAAAGCATCCCAACTGTTAACACCCAGAAATCAGCAGCATAAGCAGCTGCAATCTGTGGGGGCTTCTGAACTTCTCAAAAGCCTCCGTGAGCAAAAGGAGCTTCCTCTGGGATGTATCTTGTTAATTGCTAAAAGAAAGAAGATCCTGGAGACTGCATCGTACACCCCAGGTTGATGATGGAAGGAGCTCTGTGGTTACCATATTCTTTGTTTGACCACATCCAACAGAGTGATGTCCTAAAGCACCAATTCTTGTAAGAGCCAAAGGGAACTGGACACTCAACCTCTGTTGGAAGTTAACAAGAGATTGGTGTTTAATGCTCAGAGGCTCCCTTGAAAATCTCATCCCTTAACCAAGTCACTCTCCCCTGCCCCACCTCCAGGCCTACATACCTCTCCGACAGGGATTTTTATCATGCCTAGGGCTTCATCCTATAGCCCTTACTCAGGCAGATAAATCATACAGTGAGACCTGCAGTACTTAAAAGTATAAATTGCTGGCCTGCAAATTCAGCAGTGAAATCAAATGTTCACTCTTTCATTTGAAACAATATTAGCTCTTCTGTATTTTGAAACATCCCCAGATGACCTTTCCGCCATCATGCCACAGGGAATACGAGTCAGCCAAGCCAAACCAGAAGAAGCTACAAAATACAGGATACTGGCACCTCCCAAGATATGAGAGTTTCCTAGCCTGGTATCTATTAAAACCTATCTTCAACAAGACAGGATCATAGAAAGCCCAGTATAGCAGTGAGCTTGGCAGACCTTCATCCCATACTACCCTGGTATCTTTATGCAGTTTGCAGGTCAAACAGTCCATGGATTCTATAGGATTTGGCACACTGGCTTAGGAAACCAAAGATCTTTCTATCACACCAAACAGTCCCAGAGCAACTTTTTTAAAGATGAATTTCATTCCATCTAAGCTTTTTTTCACTTCACTATTACTTCCTTTTTTGCAACATAAAGCAAAGGAGAAAAACATTTAATCAGTGAGGCTTGGGAGCCATAATTGCGTATGCACACATCCTGACATGCAATACGACAAAACATAGGTCCAAGTCTGCATTTCAGCCCTTCCCTCCTATAATTGCCACCAATATGTTAGCCTCATTGGCTTCTTTATTACACTCGGTCTCTACCATCTACGCCTTTTCCCATGAAGCCTGCCAGGCACGAAACAGCCTCTCCCAATTCCTGTTTTGCCAAGACACTATCCTTTCACCATTCAAAGCTCCCCTAAAATCTCTTCTACTGCAATGCCCACAAGATTTGAGTTAATCATAAATTTAGTAAGATCACACATATTCATACTCCTAAGTTCTTCCCACCTCTCAGTTCCTCACTGCACTGAGCTTCCCCTGAGAGAATGACTCGTAAGGCAAAGAATTGTACTTTTTGTGTCTTACAGAGTACCAGAGAACTGTTGGTGGTATAAATGTAAATCCTTCACATAAATGTGTATTGTATCATTCACTTGCCTCGAGGTGATGAAAGATGCAGCTATGAGCTAGGTGGAGCAAAAATTATTATTTTTTTAAATAGAAACCACAGAGGTAAGTAAGATGGGAACATCCAAAATACTCTATATGCCTCCAGGGTGCTCAGCTGGAAGCAGAGGCCTATGAGTTATGTCTGTCAGATGATGGGCCAAATTACTGTACATTACTGTTAATCGTCAGGAACTTACAGTATTGATAACCACAGGGTTCCTGCTCCGTGGATAAAGGCAGGGCTTCGTTTTCCAGATTGGAAAACACCTTTTACAAACCCTCAATTAATAAAGGCATCCTCCCCTCCCCTCAAGCATCATGGTGTGCACTTACAAATCCGATCAGGTAGGGGCTGCCAGCGTCTCCCAGAAGGTGCGAGGTGAAGCTCTGCAAGGCCACTGCGGTTGCACGGCGTGTTGGAATGACCACGTACTGTAAGGAAGGAGGCAAACAAATACAGGTGGAAAGTCAAACAGAGAACCTGCCTAGCTGCCCCGAGTGGCTGGGCAGCTCCCAGCTCCAGCTCTAAGCTGGGCTCTCTTGTCATCAGAGACTGGGAAAGTGACCCCACGGCTTTCAGCAGCAGAGGCAACTGCACTCCAGCTCTGCATAGGCTGCAATCACGTGGGCAGCTCCGGAGCTTTGCTATCATCACCAGGTTTCTCGTTGCAGATGCTTAGAGAAAGGAGGGTCCTGCTCCCTCTTTTGGTAATATTTTATGCAGGACTGGGCCTTACAAATGGGCTCAGCATGCAGCCCTTGCAGACTCCCCAGATTCTACCTTCTCCATTAGCTCCCCTCCTCCAGCACATTAGCTCTCCCTTTCACCCACTGCAACCCACATTTTTAGATGGCCGGTGTTTGCTTTACAGGACATCAAGCACAACAAGGGCCACTGTACTAACAACAAAGACATTTGTCAGGTTCTATCTTTTGTTGGCATGACTATGAAGGGCACCACCTCCTCAGGTCTGAGGTCTGCCTCCGATTTTTTTGTCTGCTTATACTAACCACAGTTAATGGTGATGCACTGGAGAAATCATCATTGTGCCATCTGCTCCTACGGCCCCATGACGTCAGGTCAAGCAAAATCAACCTGAGTCAGCAGGAGAACAGGAATGAATATTATTTCCCTGTTAAGGGATCACTGGAAATGGAGCACTGGCCAATGAGGTGAAGCCTAGGTTGTGGTCTGAGATTTATCCTGGAACGATAAATTTAAGGGCAGAATGGACAACTGCCTACTGATATGTCATGCACAAAGCCTGCCAAAGAATCGCACCCAAGTATTTCTATATCCAGCCCAGAGATTCTGGCTCAGCATCTTACAGCAAGCGAGTGAGTCTGGATGGAGCAGTTATGAGTGATGAAGGATCTACCATGTCCCTAAATCCTCAAATGCCTCACTTTAACTTGTAGCCATTGAAGGTAGCTCTGTCTGGAGTAAAGAGTTATCTATATACCAAAAAAATCACATTTCAACCTCTCTGACAAAATAAAGAGGCTGAACTTCTTTAGTCTCTCATTAAAGATATGCTTTTCTAGACCTCAGCTCACTCTTGTATCTTCCTTCTGAACCCTTTTGGGTTTATTACCCAACAATGGAGTTCTGCTAGGGATGAATGGGACTTTGCTGATTCTATTTACCCTGAGCTAATTGCTCCAGAGTAACGCATGTCTCTTGGAGAAGGAATGTAAGGCAACATTTTAATGTCATATCATTTCCTCCTACGGGAGGAGAGGTATAGTTACCATCTCCCTGAAGTGGAAAGAGAGGATCATGCGAGTGGAAAAAACCTTGAAAGAATCCACAATGCGAAAGACCCCATGGGAAAAGGTCACCTTGAGGGATTACTGATTTCAAACACAGTGGTTCAGAGGGTTTAGGAACAGCAGGTAAAAGAATAGGACTTAGCTGCCTCTGAAAATTGGAATGCCCTGTTGTTCTACAGGGAGGTAAAGAAATGCACAGAGACTGTCCACAGGACACACAGAAAATCCAGAGTGGAACTAGCAGTGGAAACCAGATATTGCAGGAACTAGAGGTGGAAACCAGATATGGCAGCTGCTATTGCTAGCCCATGATACAGGTACAAGGGCACTGGGCAGCCCCCAGGTGAATTCCAGTCCAACATCTCCCCCAGCCAAGCCTGCATGGGAGCATGTGGAAATGCTCTAAGTGCGACTGCTTGAGAATGATGTCTTTGAGGACATACAGGAAGACTTTACCCTCCAGCAGTCGTATCTGGATGGACCCGAGGAAAAGTTAGTTTATGTTAACAGTTTTCTTGTCATAAGCTGCAGGTGGCGTCAGAGCTGGAAGGGAAACCCAGACTCCTGACTCTCAGACCTTTCCATAAGGTTCTCCTTTTCCAGCAAAAGGACAAGGGCAAATACAAATGTATAGGCCTAAAATGAAAGCTTGCTTTTGAAAAATGAGTACCAGTAAATTAGTGTCACTGGGGGAAAACTGTGTCCTGAACATTAATTATTCTTTAAAAAAAATGCAGTTTTGCAAATAGCAATACAAATTTCCAGTAAGACTTTAGCCTGCCCTGACTAATTAAATTATGGATGGCCAAAACCAGACTGCCTTTATAATGCCAAATACATTTATATGTCTAGTTTGAAGACCTAGCAAAAAAAATATAATGCAGCCACCAAAGGAAACATTAAACTTTTTCATCTACTTTACATAATATTGGGAGGGGGAAAATGTTGTTCCTACTTAAAGGGTATTTTATTTTGACAGAGAGGATATAGCTGGTAGTAAACATTAGCTACTATTCTAGGGAGGATAGCAGTAAATTACAGATCTGAACAGCATTTTGATACTAAAATAGAGCCAAATTCAAACCATACACAGGCTGGTTACAACATCCCCACAGAAACCGGAATCCGAGGGGAAGAGTGTGGGATTGTCCTGGCTTGTCTCTCCAATTCCAGGTTGGGAGGCACACATCACACAGGATGTGCGGGGAGGCTGACAAAGCAGCTCTGGTGAGCCTCACCTCTTTAAATAGAGGTTTGGAAAGGCCATGGTTTTATTACGGACGTTCCATTCTCCTAGCGAAGATGTAAGAACTGCTCTTCCCAGACAATGTGTTCCCCTAGCTCAGTTTAATGTTAAGCATATCGTATCTACGGACAAATGCCCTTCCTCAGTTAAAAGGTCACTCCAAAACTCTGAATTGTAGGTGCTAGTGTTCTCTTTTAACTCTGAAAGCAAGCCCATTGTTTTAAACTTTAAAGCCTTGCTGCTGATTTGATGCTCGCACTGGGACAGATAAGAAGCTCCAGAATACTACATGTTGAATTAGTTCAGTATCAGAGGAAAGCAAGAGCCAGCACTGATCTGGCTGTTGAGAGTGTTATGGAGCTGTTAACTGTCCAAAATTTCTTGGAACTATCATTCGAAAGGAAGGAAAAGGCTTGATCCAAAAGCCCATTACAATCAGCGGTAGTTTCTTCCCTTGACTTCAGGGCGCTTTGGAATGAACCCAAAAGACTAAGAAAAATACAATGGAAAAATAACGTCTGCTTATTTAGATTGCAAGTGAAAAGTACTGGAAACTGGCTAGACGTGGCCAGGGAACAAAACTTAAGATATTTACCCTGAGGGCTGAGAAACGCATAAATGCTGTCTTTTAGTGCAGATCCCCACCTCCCAACCAATTCCAAGAACATAAATAATGTGATTTGTAAGAAGTGGTGAAGGAGGAAGGGCAGGCAGTCCTTCCAAACAGCACTGAAGACGACTTTGGGATACACTCCAAAGCAGTGAGAATGCCTCCAGGTAGGTTCTCTATGATCAGAGCTTTGTTGGCCTTTTCCAAGATAGGTCTGTACAACTGCATATACTTATTCTACATCTTCACTTAATCTGACTCTAGGGAACCTCATCCATCACAGACCGCCTCTGCTACTAATTTGGATGGCTGAAGCAAAGCAGCTGTGATATCTATATGCATTCATACTGTATTTGTTGCAGTGATATATATCCCAGTCATCTTACACCTGTTTCAAACCTGAAGACAACAGTTGGATCTACAGCATTAATTAGAGGCTGCACTTCCCTATAGGCATCACTGGGCTGTTTTAGGAAAAAAACTGCCAAAAAAATATAGGAAGCATTTTGACAAGGTAAACATGGAGAATTGGTCTTCTCTGTAAGAGACCCATCAATTTTTGCATCTGACCTGGGGTTCAGTAGCTAACCCCTCACTTAGCCATTGACACTGGGTCTTGCACAGGAAAATTACCAAGCCAGTACCAACCTTCTCTATTCCTAAAAGCTGGCATGGGGGAGAAATGCTTTTAGGACCAGACAGTGCCGAGCGCTCCCTGGTATCACCTGTGGTTGAAAGCATGCAGCTTCTCAGTGGCAGGAAGCCACCTTTCTTCCTGCTGTCTGATGCACTGCAGTTCATTCATTACTGCTGTTACAAGGCAGTTTTAATGCTACTTTGGGGTTCAGGTGACTTTGAGACCAATTTGCAAATCTGGCAGATAAAATATGTTTCATAATTAGTATCCTCTGTAAGAAGTCCCCCCAGCGCCATCGCTCAAGCACGTGCCTTGATGGAGATTTGGAGAGTTGCACCCAGGAGAATAAGATTTATTTTGTGAAAATCTGCTCTTGGAATAAATATCAGCCTTTCAGAACCCCAGACAACAAAGCACAAACAATCCTGCAGCACAGAGGGTCTGTCATATCCAACTCATTATGGTCTGTCACAGGCCAGCTAAATCCATGAGAGCAGTAGGGCAAGCAATGCAGGGAGTGAGCCTACAAGAGACAACATTTAAATATTAAAATAATAAGCAAATGTCCCAGCATTGCCAGGGAATTTGGCACCTGAGCCTGCCCACTCTGGTGAGCCGTTCTGCAACTCAGAGGATTGAACCCTTAGGCAGTCATGAGATCTGTAAAATCCTTTCCAAAAGCCCTAACTGTTGGCCTAATTCTACCACTGAAGTTGGAGAGAAATTCCCATGGACTTCAGTGGGAGCAGAGTTAGACCAATGCTGAGAGCTTCTGGAAAACATCTTTTTTCTTTGAGCCTCAGTTTCCCTTCTTTTTATGTATAACATTTATGTGCATTAGAAGGATGTTGTGAAGCTTCAGTTCTTAATGTCTGTAAAATGTTCTGAGAGTCTCAGTCTGAAGGTGCTACAGGCCTGCCAAGTGTTCATCCTTTTACGTCAATAAATGTATTGCAAGTTAATTCCTCCTGATTACCATTTAAAGTGCATCCTGGCTGGAACATTAACACACCTCTCTGCTGGATAGGACTATTATGAAGCTGTCTGAAAAAAAATCTGTTATAATCCTAGCTCTCACCTAATGTCTGACTACACATCCTCTCTAACCCCATGTGTAATGTAAATGCACTTCTGGCCAACAATTTATGTGCTTGCATTGATCGAATAGATGTTTACATTTATTTGTATAGTGTTTTTACAGACTTGCTCATGCTGATAACGTATTAAGCAGGGCCACTACTGTATATTACAGTCAGACCATTTGTCTAGATACATAAGTGAAAGTCTGGTTAAAAAGTCGATGCCAATGATTAAAAATCCATTTTTGGTATGATTTTGTGCCCTCTCATGCACCTCATTTAGTTTCTGCTTTATTTTTAAATTGGAACTTAGAAAGCATTTCTAACTCATTCTTTGGGTTTTTTCACTAGTAGAAGTGACAGCAGCATCCCTGCAAAACCAAACTGAACATATAATCCCAAGCACATGAGGAATCTGCAGACACTATAAAACCTTAAAAAGAGTCAAAGGATCTTACAAAACCCATTGAGAGCAATGTGAAAATCCCAAGTGATCAAGATGGAAGCAGGATCAGGTCCTTTATTTTCCAATTTCACCCAGCATTTAGGGAAAGGATGACGTGCTCAAGACTAGAATTCATTCTGCTTATCTGCTATAGATGTCTCGGGTGACCTTGACCAAGTCACTTGGGGCATAGCTATACTGCAGTCACTGCTATGACTACAGCCACAGTAAACTTGCCTGACATAGCTTTAAACCTGCCAGCTCAGGCTCCAGTAGCAGCAAAGAACTTAGCATTGGATACAGATACCTGAGCAGCAACTCAGCCCGTGCAGTGTTTCATGCTGCTACAGCTGCCCTGACAGCTAACTTAAAGCAACGTCTAAATAAGCAGCAGCAACTGCAGAAAAGACATCGCTCAGATTTCTCCGAGTCTCGGTTCCCTCTCTGCAAAAGTGGAAATCGGCACTTCCCGTGCCTCACAGGGATGTTGGCAGGATACATTCATCACAGATTTCGAGATTCTCATGCATGACAGTTAGGAATACCATAGAAGTACCTTAGGTAGACAGACGTGTGCTTAAGTATTCAGCAGAGAATGTAAGCACAAGCTGAAGGTCTTGGCTTAATCAGAGCCTTTCACCTTAGAAATACCGAGCCAGATTTTCTCCTTATTTAAGTGTGTGTAAATAAAAAAAAAACAGCTGCACAGAAGTCAAAGGGGTTTAGTACTGGTGGGAAATAAACCTAAGTGAAAGAAAAATGAGGGCTGTTCCTGGGATGGAGTGAGTTGCCTCAAGATGTAAGCATAGGACTAGGCTGTTTGCAGCTCTACACAGATTCACCATGTGACTTTCAGAGAACACTGTAATCTCTCTATGCCTCAGTTTGCCCATCTGTAAAGAGGACCTATTAATAACAGCTGTAGAGTGGTACTTGCAAGAATCAGCATCTCTGAAATGCTTGGAGATCCTCAGATGGATGGGACTACAAATGCACAAAAAGTTATACCGGGAAAACAGACCATTTCACCAGAGGAGCCAGTGGCTGAGATTAGTCTTCTGATCAGAAAGGCAGAACATGCTTTAGACAGAGAAAAAATGGAAGATCAGGAACATGATGTGAATAAACCTTGATGGCTTCCCCTTAAAACAGAGGGGTGTTAAAAAATTCTTTGGACTTTCTTTTCCTCTGTCCTTTCCCAGGGGTAGTTTCCTATTGTGCATGTGTTGAATGGCAGGTATTCTGGGGCAAAGCCAGAAGAGAGAGAAACAGTGGGCTTTGGATGTGGGAGAAAGGGAAGAAAGTGATTTCCCAGACCACAGGAAAGCCAATGGGAACTGTGGTTGTCAAAAATAAAACCTAAAGGAAGCCTATTGCTCAATGCCCGCTGAGCTCCACACACAGGATGGCTGAACAGTTCCTTTGGATTTCAGGGCACCATTTGAATTCTGCGGTTGTTCAATGTAACAACTGATGTTCAAAACAAAGATAGAGAAGGATGCTTCTCTCTTTCTCAGTGGAAAAGGCAATAGCAGGCAAGAGTTAAAGGGTAGCATTGAAAGGCTGTTGTGGACATGCATCTGTTTTCCATAGCAATTTGAAAAGCTGCTTTAACACCACCCCCCACCCCATCCCAAAGGAAAAATGCATTGTTAATATACACTCACCATCAGTATGTCTGCTGTGATAGCCCAGTTTGAAAACAGAAGAGTTTCACCGATAAAAATGCAAATCTGTCATAACAAAACACAGAAAAAAGATTTATTCACTGGCAAGCAAAGGCAGGAGAAATGAGCTGCCAGAAGCTTTTCTACCCTGTCCATAAGTCCCCAGTTAATATGCTAAACGTTAAAAAAAAAAGAGAATCTATACATTTTTATCTAACCTCTGAGGGCTCAGATTACATCTTTGTTCACAAACATGGTTTACATTCTAGAAAATTGATGAATGAAAGGCCAATGTCGTGAGTGGTAGTTTAACATAACAGATCCAAAGTGAACAGATATCTTCAGTGGATTTTACATTTAAAAATGCAGTCTCAAAAAGCCAATCAGCGAGTCAGAAAAGGTACAAAGTCCACATTAAGCTCATTACTAGTAACTAGTTGAGTCTTAACTAGCAAACTGAGGATGACTTTCCTCTAACCAACCACAGAAGAGGTATGGCAGTGGGAAGGCAAGGTTCCCTTGCCATATAGATCACTGTCCCTCCTCTCGAGGACAAATTTTGGAGTCTGTAGTAATAATTTAGGCACCGGTTCATCAGAGAACTAACCACATAATTATGTAGGCCCAGACCACTCAACAGAGCACTTCAACACTTTCTATGCAGAACTAGGGCTTTAAGCTCTATAGCCAATTCAGTCCTTGGGTCAATGGTCAAGAGACTATACCCAGATTTTCTTGCACACAAAAGAAACAAGGCAGGAATGTCTTGGGGAGAGTTCCTGCCTCTCGCACAAAGGAAGGAGCCAGTTATTTATAATTCAGCTTTGTACCATTGTTTTAACTCTACATTTGTGCAATGTTATATGTCACAATTCAATGCTGACACACAAGCATCTACCTATGTACATGTACTGCTCAGTACATGGTTTGTAGACAACACATCCTTTGGATAAGCTGATAGACTGGCTTTCTATTCAGAGAGGGAAGCAGACACATGCTAGGGTATCACAAAAAAAAAGCTCATTTTGTTTTGTCCAACCACTTGGCTTTTGATATGGCACCTAAAACACTACATTCAGTGCTAAGAGATGGACCGACCACTACGGAGGCTGAAGCCAACAATATATTTCTAAATTCAGTTCATCTGTGTTCTCTTAGGTCTGGTGCAAATTCATCTTCTAACTGCCTCAATTCTTTCGACGCACAAACACAGTCTTCATTGCCTTAGATGCAGTCCAAAACTGTAAATATTGCAAGGTGCACCTGGCTTTGGAGTGATACTTTGGAAGTGTACTGTTTTGCACTGCCCCTTGAGTTGTGCTGGTCTCCAGGAAGGAAGGAAAGGTTTGGCAACATGCCCAGTGGAACCACAGTGCTCATCTGCCTTGTTCATGATGTACACACATTTTTTTGGTGGGAGGGAGTTGGGGGACACGGAGAAAGGGGTATATTGTGTTCTGGTTCTGAGGTGACCATGGCATGTGTTTTGATTGTACAATGGTTTAGGTTCCCTGAATTTCTCTGACTAGCTGGTCACTGCCGGGAACAGCTTGCCTTATTTAGCAAGTCTTAGCAGGCATGGATGGAAAGCTTCCTTCATTTGTTTCTAAAATCAGCTTTATCTACTCCCCCACTCCCCACCAGCTTTGTGACTGATCCCACTTCCTCTATTACGGTGTCTGGGCCAGTTCCCGTAGCACAGTTGATGAGCTATGAATTCTCAAGTCTACCGCTGGTTCCTACAGCGTGCTCATCTCTTCTGCCATAGAGTTCCTGGATGCTTCTCCACTCTGTGCCCATGGGTAGGCCTAATATGCAACTGTATCACATGTAGGCATGTCAGCGCTAGCTCGGACACCAACAACTATAAAGATGTGACACGTCATTTTAGGGTCCCAGATGGGCTTGCTGAACCTGCCCTGAAGCCTGTGCTGCCCCGGCTTTATTATGGTTGATATTGGAGCTTGCCAGCACACCACCACTGGAGTGCAGACATAGCCTGTATCCAGATAGATATTGACATAGACATATATCTTTATTTTTTTTATTTTGAGATGGGGGTCAGACTCGATGATCTATTGAGGTCCCTTCCAGCCCTAACATCGATGAATCTATATACACACACACACACACACACATCTTTATCTATATATGGTATGCGTCACTGTTTATCAGGGCAGATCTGGGGGGTGCAGAGGTGTAGTAACACCTCCCTTCAACTGTGCAGCATATGTGCAGCAAGCTCTTTTTTTGCTCACTAGTTTATCAGCACAGGCTCTGGCCACAGCCCCTGCTTTCACATGGCCCCAGAGCTTGCACAGCAAGGCACTTTAAAATGCTGGGTTGCAGAAAGCCAGGCTGAACACATGGTTTTTAGACATCCTCGAGGATGGAGACCATGGGATGGGAGAGAGGCTCTCCAGTCCTGGGGCCCCCAGGGTCCTGGTACTTCTAAAAACCATGTAGGCAGCTGGGGAGTCCCAGGCCGGTCCTGGAGGAGCCCAACCAGCAATCAGCTGATTGTTGGACTCAGCCCCAGACAGCTCGGGATCTCAAACCAGACTGCAACTGTCTGGGTCTGAGGCCAACGATTAGACAGCTGATTGTTGGACTCAGCCCCAGACAGCTTGGGATCTCAAACCAGACTGCAAATGTCTGGGTCTGAGGCCAACGATTAGCAGATTGTCAGATTCACACCGGATAGCCCCAGGTCTTGAACCTAGTAAGGGCTAGGGATGGCCCTGGGTCTGGGACAGAGCTGCCACCTGCTGCATCTGCAAGACTGGGCTGCAACTTGCTCACAGTCACACAGAGATGCTGTGCCAATTATGGACAGAACTCCCATTTCCTAGCTACCAAATCAGTGCTTTAGCTATAAGACAATCTCTAATCTTTTATCACTGCTCTACAAGCGCTAAGACTGAAGTGAGATGGAGCTGTAACATCCAGGGCAATGGGGTAGGCAGCATTAACTGTTAACACCTACCTGAAGAAACACAACAGCAATACAAGCAATGCTGCATCCTTTACTTTTGTTCCATACACAGATATGACTTCGGCAACTTTGCTCAGTGACCAGCTAACATATTCACTCTTTATAGGTTTGTAAAATTAACTGGTTTTAGAATGTTTTAATAATTCCATCCATCCTTGTATAGACATGTGGCAATGTACAAAAAGGCTACACAGAAATATGATTAAAAGTAGCACTCTCAAGAGATTAAACAACTAGGAAATTATTAAAATGGGATCAATGAATGCATAATATTTGATCAACCTTTGTTAGAAATGTTTGGAGAAAAATCTTTGAAGATTGGAAAGGGAAGTTTTTTGCATGAAAAGAGGAGAATCAACACACAACAACACAGTCAATTTAATCTCTCCCCCCTGCTTCAGGTATGGGAGATAGGAAAAATGGGTCTGTGTGCATTAAGGAATTAAAATTAGGGGCAGGTAGAGGGAGGTGTCAGAAATCATCATTTAGAGCCAGCTAAAAATAAAAAAAGGTGAATGCTTTTCCATTCCAGAACATGCTCTTCCAAGCACCCTGGCATGGTCATTTTTCTGTTGCTCAATGCAGCAAAGATTGTTCCCATGAATTGCATTTCTTTCTGATTCTTTTTTAAGTGGCTGCTGTGAATTTTTTATTTTTAAACTTTCTTCTCTAAGCATATAAAGAGTGACAGCAGCCCCAGCACGCACAAATCAAGGCCAGTTACCTCTAGTGCTAAGGGATCTATGTGGACTAGAAATGGCTATTTTGCATCTTTGCCCGTTTCACTTAAAACAGAGTCCTGAATCACTGCATTGACCTGCTATGGGCAGGAGAAGCAAAATGCTGGGATTCTCTGAGATGAGGACTCCCAAATGGCCCTACTCCTGTCCTCCCACACTGCTCTCCGAAGCACACCATCTTTGCCCTGTATAAGAAAGCACAGAGTTGAGCATTCAGTAGAGCTAGGATTGGGCTGATTGGAATTGAATTTTGATTTTCTGGTGTAAAATGTGAGATCCAGACCTGGGACTGGATTGCAAAGGGGAGTCTCTTGTAAGCCAGCCTAGGCACTGCTGGGCTGGAAAAAAAAGCCCAATCTAGTTGGGGATGATCCTGCTTCGAGCAGGGGGTTGGACTAGATGTCCTCGTGAGGTCCCTTCCAACCCTAATTTTCTATGATTCTATGATCGTGGAGAATGAAAATACAAGGGAAAGGCAAAATTTTAAATTTTTTCAGGTTCCCATATGAAATGTATCTGGTCATACTCTTTCTGCATTCACCATATAATCAAATACTTTTCACTATGGTTCACCCAACTACTCCACTGGTTCACCCAACCAAGATTCCCCAGTGGTGGCGTTATCATGCATTCTGTCAAAAGTTTTCTTGTGCTCTTCTCTCTGTTGATCTGTACCATCTATTGTCTCTTTTTGTAAATTTAGATTATAGGCTTTCTGGAGAAAAGACCATCTTTTTCATGTTTGTACAGCACAAAATGCGAGGGTTTGGTCATTGACAGGGGTTCCTGACTACTATGGTAATACAATTAATAATACATTGTATTCACACTGTAATGATTCCCAGTAATCCAGAAAGTGGTTCAGTTATGCGAGTTAATAGTATAGTAATTACAAGCAACAAAATGTGTGCCAGAGTGTAATTGTACTGTAACTACCATGTGCCATACTGCAATTACAGCCCTCCTATGATAAAGGGAGATCTCATATTTGCCTACATCAAAATGCTGGACAAGGACATTAGCCCCTTAAGTGGTCAAAACTAAACAAAGAGGGGGACGTACGACTTTATGTCCACGATAAACTTAAGCCCCAGAATCTCACGTAGTCTGACTTGGTGAGTTTCTAATGGGGAAGGGGAGCACTGGGAAAAGCAGTCTTGTCTCTCAATGTGTTTACAGAATGGCAACGAGAAAAGATAGCATCAAAAAGAGAGGCAAGCACAAGACCAGTGTCACAGTCCCAGACTGTGCAAGGATGAACACTGCTTCCTTCCTAGAAGGTTTGGTGTCAGGCTGGACCTGCAAGATGGTCCCTGCCCATTCACAGTTTTCACTGTGGACCATACTTACATAGGCTCCCACAATACTGCTCTTAGCAGCGACGAAGATCAGACAGATGAAGATGGCCGAACCCAGCATGCCCACAGCACAGACGAGAGGATCAGCTCGTTGTGTTTTTAAGCGGCACCATTTGGTTGCACCAGCCCCTGTGATCACACCCAGAAAGCCTGTGAAGCATGTGATTGCTCCAAAGATCAAACTATTAAAAACAAAACATTGAGAGTTAGCTGTAGAGTTTTGCACTAAAATGGAAACATTTTACAAACAAACAGAGAAACCCCAGAGGAACTCAGCTCTGAAAAGAGTGCCAGAGCTTTGAATCATGTACTGCATGGGCAATGCCCACAGGGTCCAAACCTCGTATTCCTCCTCTACCGTCACGTTTCATCACAGCTCTCACTCTCCTCCATTACCCAGTGTGCACACATCAAGGGTAGTAAAACCTACTAGCTCATCAAAGGTCTCCAGGGGGACCACCCTTAAATAATTTAATGCAAAGTTAGGGAAGCAGGAACCTCAGGTCATTAAAACTGCATGGCAGTTTGCAAGAAAATGAGGAGTAGTAACTAGACCTGGTTCAAATTATTCAAATAAAACATTTTTGACTTTACATTATTGAAGGGGACCTGAAACACGATTAGGTTTTCATTGAAAAACTGATCAAATTCTCAGTGGATGCAAAGGATTTGGGAAAGATAAAAAGGAGTTGACACACATGAGAAACAAAACCATGCTTTCATCAAAACCTTTTGCAAGGAAACAAAATCCTTTCTTGGTCAGTGTTTGTGTTAGGCTAGAAGTGGACTATCTTTCCTACCCATTTCCCACTGCAGCTATCCACTTCCGCAGCATTCTTCCCAAATACCATGTTTTGCTTCAGGAGAGGCAGCACGTTATTGGTAACTGAAAGATAATTACATCTACAGAATGCTTAGGGATTTACTAACACGCTTCAGCATTAAGCTCGTACAGGATACGGCACAGAGGTTTATTCAGCTTGTTACCCACAGACCTCCCCCTCATCTCTTCCATGTCCCCAGGTCAGCACTACAGGAATATTAAAGATGAAGATGGGAACAATTTTTAGATGAAGAACTTTCAAATAAAGGAACAACAGGAAAGTCAATTTCCAATGTTTCGTAGTAAGTCTGAGGTCTCTCCCACCCATAAAGATCATGTAGTGCAGTGACTACTGATGCAACCAACTATTCTTTTTTTGTAACCCATTAATGGAAGATGTTGCACAGGGCAAAACCCTAACTTCCTGCCAGCCCCCGGGGAGAGGAACTAACTGGAGACCTGAACTTTGGCCTCCCCATGCCAAATGGCAGGCTCCTCATGCTAGCCCATCCTCCTGCAGCCTTTGTAAACAGCATCCCTACTGCAACCATCTCCCACTCAATCTTAGAGCAAGAGCCAACATGGTGCTTCTGACATCACAGCAGGTCACATGCCATTCAAAGATCTGAAAGTGCTTTTCTCAGTGTGAATCAATCAAAACTCTCTTGTGAAAGTAGTGTGACTGACATCTTACAGGTTGGGAAGCCAATACAGAGAACCCTTGATCCTGCTCAACACCATGCTAGGGATCAGTGGCAGGGACAGTAAAGCATTCAGACCTCTTGTTTCCCTGTCCTGTGCCTCTGCTGCAAAGCCACCTCTTCTTCCTCAACCTTCCTGGTTGCCTATTCTGGCCTCACAACAGGTTCATGCTGAAAGGGATATGAATCCTGAACTTAAACTCCAGTGATTCCATGTTGCAGAGGGCCAGGAGAAGTTACAGGAATCCTTGTAACTGTGTGTCACTCTCTTACATCATGATCCCTGGGGTTTTCACATTTCCCCGAGTAAGACAGCCACTCTCCAAAACAGCAGATGAGCCTCACCTGTCCTTGGTGCTACAGGGCTGGGAACTGCAGGTCTCCACTGTCTTCTGCACCACCTGTGCTCTGTGAAGGTAGAGGGGGATCCACATGCCCAGCGCCCCTGTGGCGAAGGAGACGGCCGAGGTGGCCAGTGACGAGAACACATAGCTGCGGCTGGGGAGATGGAAGAGGCAAAGCCAAGAGGAGATTTAGCTTCACAGCTGCTTTAGTTTTGCAGAGACCCTGAAGGAGCAAGAGCCACAGGTGCCTCAGGAATACTTAAAACAGCAGCACTTCAACCCAAACCCCTTACACCAGTACCCCTAGAGCTAGGTGAGGCTTGTTAGCCTAGCCACTGAAGTGAGCTTTGACAACACACAACAGTGCTTCCTGGGAAAGGCTGCATCGTCCTCTAGAGAAGGTGGGCTCTTGTGGCACACTTCTTGCAGGCTCCCAGAGGATCAGTAGCTGGGAGGTCACCTGCCTGCAGCAACCACTGTGCTGTGGTTTTTTCTGTGCCACATAAAATGCTGCTTTGTCACTCTGGTTAAAGCATTGCCCCTAGTCTACAAGGCCTAGTTCTCTTCTCTGCAGGCACTTCCCTCTGTACAAAGCAGGTGTAAAATCCCATCAGGCTCCAGGCTGGTCTTGGTTAGCACTTGCTTTGCATGGGTCCAGTGACAACAGACTGCAGAGCAATAGAGAATCAGGCCCAGGGTGCACTCCTAATTCCTCATGTTGTAGCAATTTCTAGCTTGGAGGCACCATTTTATAGTTTCAAAGCACTACATGACCACTAAATTGGAGGCTTTCAGCATACACTCAGCACTTAGGCATCAGGACACCAACTGCTCAAATGCCACTCTCTCTGCTATAATGCTATCTGCTTTCTGGCTCAGAGCACCAGGTTTCCCACCTGAGCATCCCAGCTCTGAATGGTAGAGGATCACTGATGACCAGGTACCCAAAAATATGATACACAACAAAGACAGCTGTAAATAAATTGCTAGCCCTTGTAATACTGTCCTAGCAGAGGCTGACAGCACTAGCCAACAAGGGCACATATACTCATATTCAGCCCTGAAAAGTAAGTTAGCAAATGCAACTCCCTAAACAGCTGAAAGCATGCGCCTTTGGTTCGTGCACTTCTGTCAACTATGAGGAGATTCTGAGAGGATATGCAGTCACCTGCAACTGTGGGAATGTGTGGACACCTGCAAAAGCGTATGCATCCCCTCAGTGCTTGTGGGCATTTATAGATTTTTCTCTGCAAAATTCCCTTTGGTCTTTAATGTAATTCCACTTTGGGAAAGGGGTTCTTCTCCTGGTGCCCAACAGGGAATATAAAGGGTATGAGCATCTGAAAGCTGGTAACAGAGTTTGCTGAAGGCCCACTCTCAAGTTTCCACACCTGCACTCAGCCTTGCTGGGAACTTCCTATGGATCCTAAAGCAAAATTTTGGATCTGAATCTTAGAAAGCTTTGATCCAAAATTGGGGTCAAAACCCTGTAAGTAGGATCCTTATCTAGTGAACAGACAACTGTGATTTCCTTTCCCAGGCCTTCTGCAGCTCCTCAGATCCCACCACTGGGTAATCATACAGGGCAGGGAGGTGAAGCATGTCTCTTACTTTCTGAACAATGCCTTCATATCTCTTAGCCACGAGGTCCTAGCCTTCAGCTGTCCCCCCAGCTGTTCAACGTTGCCTCTTTTAGCAGCAGGTACCAATATTAAGATGAGCGTCCCTGTGATCATACCCAGCAGTGGAGATACCTGGAAGAAAGGATCTGGGCATTAGCACAGGATGGCAGCAGCAGTTGCCTTGACTAGTCAATAAGAAACAGATTGCATTAGTTTCGCTTCAGTGACCAGATTCAGCGGTCAGAGCCTCTACATACACTGCAGCATCTGCTCCGCTCCTTGCTTTCTCTGTTATTCCCTAGGCTGTCCTAGCTCACTCCCGTTACCCCCAGCCATAGGGATGCTGTCATGAAAGTGGTAAATTTCTGTGGGACAGCTGCTATATTCAGTTTTTTTCTTAACACAATTCTGCAGCGACACAGTGCTTGGGTAACTAACTCCCAGCAGGGCTTGATTTCCAGAAGAATTTAGAGATGGTCTAGGGACAAAGAGCCAGGAAAGTAAAAAGGTTTCCAGATGCTGGGGGACTCCTTGTCCCCCACCACAATCCTAGTGTCGCATGCATTCACAGCAGCCTCATCCTTCCTGCATGGGTGCCTCACCTATCCCTTTTTTCCTCTAGCAGCTGCTTGCTGAAGCTGTGGTGCAGCAAGATGCATGTGATATTCAAGCGGAAAAGCGGAGAAAGCAGATAAGAATACTGAAGCACACCGCGGCCCGGCCTCTCAATTCCCACTCCACTAATCTGACCACTCAACAAGGCTGCATTTCCCAAAGGATCCTCTAGTGCTTTCCAAGCCACAAACACAGATCCCATTGTTGCCACCGATGTTCAGTCATCGCTAGGGTGAAGCAGTGCTGCTAATCAAAGCATTTTCAAAAAAAGGCCAGTACCACCTCTTCTATATGTGAAACACCCACATAAAAACTCTGGACCAACCAAAACAATCACAGGCATCAGCCCGAGGACTCGCACCTCATAGCATCTGATTTACACCCACAGTGCAAAATTACATGTCCCAGAGATGGAGGTCCCACACGTTTTTTCCCTGGAGGAAAGGCCCCAAACATTTCAAGACAGGAAAGTATCTCTTTCATTAAAAACCATAGGAGAAAATAAAGGATTCAGAAGCTGAATCACACTTCTAACTCTAAACTGAAGTGCCTTGGGACCTTTCATGAATATTACTTTTCAAGACCTTTGTTTGTTTGGATCTGAAGAGTCCAGCTCTTCCAGAAGCACAGCATCCCCTCCTGCTCTGCCGGCACATTTAAATTATTATTGGCTGTAGAATGATGAGCGGCATCTATTGAAGAACCACCAAACAAATTCTAGGTGTTCTCTGTAGGGTTTCCCAACTAGGCACAGACTAACCCTGGCCTCCTTCAGCTCAGCAGATCCAACGAGATCAGAAGAGTGATACAGTGGTATCGTTACTGGTGCTCTTCTGAGTTGCATCTCAGAATATTTTAACCTAACTCGTTCCTTACCATAGCAGTGGTCAAAGCACTGGTAGTACCTTGGTCTCTCTTGCTCTTTGGGCATTTTACACGTGCTCCGGGAGGCTGGGGGGGTGGGGGAATGTCCCGGAGTGTCACACGTATCAACGTCCCTGCACTGAAAAATGGCAGTGGGGGGTGCTTTAACAAAAGCTCAAATGAGCTTTAAAGTGACCCCGCTGCTATTTTTCAGCGCAGGGATGCTGATACACATGACACTGGAGTCTGCTGGAGCGCGCCAACAGACTTGATTAATTATGTAATTACAGACGCCGCTCTAGCAGATTCAATTAATCGACTCTGCTCCAACGCGTCGGAGCAGCCTCAATGTACGTGTATAGGTGCCCCCTATGTGCGGCTAACTGAATGGTTTCTTTTCACTGGGTGCTCAGAGGCGATGGTGCCAGAGATGGCTAGGAGAGGATGAACTTATGGACCCCTTCTGGATAAATGACTGCCTGCAAAATACATGGGACTGGATTCAGCGGCCCAGAAGGTCCCCCTTTCCTTTGGAGTAAGCAACTGCATCACACTACTAGGTTAGGACAGACTAACTTCTCCTTATGATTTCCATATGCTTTGCTTGGGCAGGTGATCAAAAGAGGGCCATGTGTTGCAATGTTTGCATCTAAGACGAGAGCCCCATTGGAGGGGCAAATCCCCAGGCAGCCTAGGCCAAGAAGAGCTGTGGCCTTGACAGCTTTTTCAGTAAAAGAGCAGAGACCTCATTGAAGGGAAGGAAGCAAAGGGTAACTTCCTGCACCCAGTGACACTGGCAAACCACTGGGGTACTGTTGGCTTCCGTGCAGAGGGCTGGCCCAGATCTCAGTGAAGTGTGTTCGGCAGAGTGGGGTGCTTTGGTGTTGATTATGCTTTGAGCTGGCCCCTGCTCAAGCCAATTTCAACTTTAAAGCATCTCTGCCGTTAGATAAGGAAGCCAATTTTTTAGGCTGAGGCTTCAGACCATTAAACTTAATTCTTTGCATTAAGCATTTATGGTTGGAATCTGTTCCTCGCTCTCCCAACTGCTGACGGATAGTTCGTGGTGACTTTATTGGCTTTGCTTCCTGGTCACAGTCAGGGAAGAGCTGGTATCATAAAAAGGACGATTTATTTGAGGCAGGGAATCTGCATATTTCAACACCTGTGGTTATAAATGGTGTTGGCTCAAGCTCCAAGGAATGAATTGCCTTCATGAATGCCAGCACCCGAGAAAACCTCTTGCTCAGCCTCATACTGGCCTGACTGTCAAAGGTCAGAAAGCAGTTTTCCGGGGCCACTTCCTGACAACTCTTTCAAGACATCTTTTTGTGTGAGTGCATGTTTTTAATGTATGTAGCACATTATCTTGCCAACACATTTATCGAGGTCCCAAGAGGTTAAAATAGAAGGAAATAGAGTATCTCAGGGCAGAAAAACATACGGAAACTGAAACAAAGTGTTTTTTCCTCAAAGCAGGAAGCCATTCCTGCAGAGTTTCTTGATAGCAGGGGACTGAAAGGCTGTGGAATTGATTTAAGGTCACCGCCTCCTCTTCCCCACCCCATTAAGAAACCACCCTTGACTGATAATTAAATGATTAGAAGTCTGTTGCTCCCAGAGTGGGAAACAAACATAAAAAGCCAATAGCCTCCACCTTTTTTTGGGTCCCAGTGGCTTCATGATTTTCACCTTCCATGTGCTGAATATCCATAAAAATATTTTTAATCTTCTCTTTGTCTAGAAGTCCTGTTCTCCCTTTAGCTATGACATGTTAAGTTTGGATCCTGAGTAGGTATTGTTATACTACATTGCATAAGAGACAGGGTTCCACCAAGTTTCACTACCATCCTCTTACGAAATGGGACAAAGACTGCAAACAGAGACAGACAGATACCTGGCTATTAGTGCTTTCGAGACGTTTCCAAAATCTAAAGTTCTGCTGGGGGAAAAGACTGGAATTTCACCCCAAAAAAGGAAAATAGTGTTCATTTAGGAAAATTTTGGTGAACCAAATCACCAAAATATCAAATTTTGAATTGGTTTGACTACTTGCACAGCTGGAAGTTCTGAGGAAGAAAACTGTGACTGTCAGGCACTACTCAGGTACATCAGTACACATGAGGCACCCCTCATCAGGAGGGGTTTGTGTGTATGTGCGCATGTACATGCATGTGCGTGTCAATGTGCACATTAATTTACTAGGGATATTTGCGCCAGTTTACTGACCCTTGAGACAACTGCTTACCCGCAATGCCCAGTGCCAGTCTCCTGCTACCTGCTTCACACTTGATCCAGTGATGTATCCTAAACCACTGCAAAGTAACAGAGAAAAGAGTAGGTTTTAATAGAATATCTTAAGTGCAGCTGTTTTCAAAGAAACTAAAATCCAGAAGAGACAGAGTCACAGTCAATTGTTGGTTCTATGAAGTTTCCCTTTTCCTGTTGGGTGAAAAATGAGCAGCACTAGAAGCAGAAAAGATGCATAATGTGTTAACTGTTAATAGCACAATTGGTTCCAATAAATATAGATTTGGTGGAAGTTCAGATGCTGATCTCCAGGCTTTTCCCTTTATAAGAGGCTGAAACAGCCTCAGGATCCAAAATCTGTCTCACTCAAGCTCCCACACTCTGCCTATCCCTGCCCTAATGTGAATTTTGGACCCAGGACTGGAATTAATAAAAAAAAATGCCTTCCAACTTGATACTGCGTCTAAACATTTATGTACTGACTGTCCATTTCATAGAAGGCAGCCCCAAATACCCATCAAGAGACACCATAACCTCATATGACAAGGCTTAAAGAAAACATGCAAAGTCCGAATGAGAAAACACTATCAACCCACTGAGAGGTCAGAGGACCAAGCAGATTTTTTGCTTGGTGACGCTGAATAATGTCCAGGAAATAAATGGCAGTTCTAGTTGAGTGTTGGAGTTTTTTTTGAAAATGCAGCACTCAGCATGGAGCCTGCCTGGGTTAAAGCTGCAAGGGATACTACAGGGGGATTGGAACTTGTGAGACACCTTTATTATACAGCCTGTACAGCCACATAGATACCTGAGCAGTACTCAGTAAGATTCCAGTACTGACCATTTGCAAAAATAGGTCCCCAAACCAAACCACTGAGTCCAAGTCTGCTGGCCTTTGGGTTAATTAAGACCCAGAGCCAGACTGAAGAACTTGAGTCCATTCCTAGCTGCATGCCATTACTAAGCACATTTGTCTTCAGGAGGAATTGATACGTTGCCAACCATCACTCAGCTGAATTCATTACACAAACACTCATTGTCCCAGGGCCATTTAGGAAACAGCTATTTCCATCGAGTTATGGACTTGGCCATTTCTTTTTCCTGAAGAGCAAAGGAATGCTTTTAAGCTTTGTCTTCAAGTTAACTGCCTTGATCACTAATCAGTGTGTTACCACCCCAAATCAGATGGTTTTTTTACTACACTGATGGGGTTCACTGCTGTCCAGGTTTTCCCTTCTGGAAATGAACTCACTGAGTTACTTCTCCACAGGAAGCCATCTACCTCTGGAATGTGGATGCAAATTGTATGAGCTCACCCTGTCTGCCACCTCACAATGCAGGGTCAGGCACTGTAGAAAAACACAGAATCCCTCATGTCCCAACAATCAGATACTGCACTGGGCTGATAAGGGAACTCAAATGAAAGAAAGTGCCAGAGGAAATAATTACTATAAGACAGAATATGGCTGTTACATTCATCAGGAATCTATGGGCTTGGCTTTCCTCCATGTCTCTGTGTAAGGTTCAGCGTAAACGTTCATTAGAGCATTCAGCCTTCTCTGTACTAAACTTTTAAATATATAGTTCCCCCAGTTGCAGGTCCAAGATTAGAAGCACTAAAATAGTATGACCACTACTGTTTTAGTTACCATGGTGTCTAGAGTTGCTCAGAGCCACATTTCATAGTTTCATATAGGTTGAAATATGAAAGGCAACTAAGTAGGCTCTGAGAAAGCAGAAACTTATAAAGTATGTATGTATGTTCAATCTTGCACTTGCACACCTTTGAAAATTTATCTCCCAGTATTAAAAATGATCCTCTAGAGTTGACAGGAATTTGGCAGGATTCAGCTAGGCCCATACAACAAATGGGCAAGAAGCATCAACAGTTAAGAGAATCGGCATACCATTAGTCTTATTAATTGTACAATCAATACCGTCGCTATTCCAAAACTGCACTTTGCTAATAATATCTAATACTTCATACTTATTCCCTAAAAGGGCCTTAACACTGCACATGAGTTTATGGCAGAACTGGGAACAAAACCTAATTCTTCTGGTTAACTGGCTCCTCCTCTACTCACTAATCTGCAGCCTTCACTATATAAAGAAAGCCAATCAAAACAAGTCAGCCATGTAGGATCAGTCAGAACTGTATTGGGTTGGTTACCTGCCCAGAGGGATCGCAAAGTAGAAGACGGACAGCATGAGGGTCCTGGTGTTTTTGGTAAAAAGGTCTCCTATGATGGTGGGAGCGATGGTGGAATAACTGGCTTCACCAATGCCAACCAAACCTCGTGAGAGAACAAGGAGCCAGAAGTACTAAGAGAAGAAGAAAAAAAAAAAGATTAATAAATGACCCTGATCTTCAAGCCTTTGAAGTGGTTGATAATGAAACAGTCCAGCAAGAAAAACGTATCCCCATGTGAGCAGAATGTAACACTTGCCCCTCTTTTCCCCTCGGCCTGCTGCCATTGGTTTTCCAGTGATGTGTTTGTAGTGATTTATCCATATGAAAAGCAATAAATCCTTCTCCTAATGTGCATCTCAGAAGATGGTCACAGATCCTTCTGTGTTTTTCACTAGCAAAAATATTTTGGCAGCCACTTTGGGTAAAAAATGGGAAACAAGAGAGTCTCATTTCATTCTCAGGGTGAGCTTCAACCTCATGCAATTAGTGGCTAACTAGAAAGGCAGAGTTGAGTAGAGTTGAGCTATAACAATCTTTATATTCAGAAGTTTTAAATGATAAGCATAACTCCTCTTTATCAGAGTTCCCACAGCACAGTGAGTGACAAGTTAACATTGAAGAGCCCATCAAGTTGCACCAAAGTTACAGAAGAACTAATTTCCCAAAGATTCAAGCAGAATTAAGCTAACCAGCATTTTCCTAGATCAGAATTTCTGTATTTTAGAGGTGCTTCTAATTCAGACAATGGACGGGCTTAGCAGCAGGTTTGGCGATAACAGGCTGAGGATCAGGTGTGTGGGGATGCACAGGGGAAGGACTTTCAAAAGCATTAACCACTATTTGAACTCTGCTCTCACTGCAGACAGTGCAAGCCACAGCAGTCAGGGGAGAAGGCCTCATCTGATGCTGAACACTTCCAAAGAATTTCACCTTAGTAATTCAGGTAAAATGCAAACACTGATGAAGTAGTAAAACTCAAGCTCGCTGGTAAAGTTGGAAAATGGCCCCAGGAACATTGGCCAGCTCAGAAAGCAGCCACTGTGGCTGCTTATTAGAGACAAAAATGAGGCATTCACTAACAGCCACTGCCATTGCACATCATACACCAGTGTAAAGTTGGGTACTGATATCACTCAGGGAAAAAAGAGCAATCTCCAGGTGCTGGAAGTGAGCAAAGATCCAATGTGCCAGAATATATGTTGGAACAGGGGCAGCAAATTCAAATCTAGTAAATCCAATATGCAGGATAAAAGGAAGAAAAAAAGAGAAAAAGGATTTATGTAATTATCCAATTGAGAGAACTTTTTTCCTGGGTTGTGGTCACACTCATTTTGACATTTATTCTTAAACTCTTAGGGCCCGATTTTCAAGTCATCCTCTCTCTCTGCACTTACAGTTTCCTAGGTGTCACTGTTTGAAGGCATTGTTCACACCACTTTCATATTTATCTGAAGCACTAGCACAACTGAGCAGTTAGACAGCAAAACAACATAAGTTGGCCTAGAAATAACTTGCAGGTTCAGAAATAATTTATTAATCATTTAATTAACTGCAGCA